TGTACAAAATCCTCAAAAGCTAGATCATGTAAACGACAGAAAGAAATAAAGCTAGAGTGGAAAAAAATGTTTAAAAAAAGGGGGGGGGTGTTGGGAGGGGGTAGCAGAGACGAGGAAGGCTACTATTCAACAATTTTGGAGGTGCTTACTCCCAGCACTTTCCACATACATCTGACAGGCACAGAACGGTGCCATGAAACTGCCTCCAGCAATGGAATACATTTTCCAGCACATCACAGCAGCTGCAGCGGCATCAGTTCTGCTTGCAATCCATGTCCAAACAGAAAAGTTCTCAGTGGTCCTATTTCAGCATATCTCAAGGACTAATTAAATCCTCATTACTATCTTCTAATTATTCCAGTGCTCTGGGATTTCACTGAGCAAGTCCCCAATGGTGCATTAGATGAAAAGGGTTAAATAACCTGTGTTGATTTTGAGACTCCAGATCTATTTCAGACCTTTAGCATATCATCAGCATTATCATGAATATTTAACTATGCACCGCTGTGAAAATTATAAGGGGAAAACAATTAAAGATTTTTTAAAAATTAATTCTGACCCATATACATTTGCACTAATAAATAAGGCTTCTTTAAGTATCCCCATTATGAGAGTGCTTGCTACAGTAATAACATCATTAACTGTTTCCATTAAGTTCAACGGTTTTCAGGAGCTCCCAATTTATTATTTTAATATAAATAAGACTGAAATTTGACATGCACATATCCAGCTTGACAAGCATGCAGAATATTATGCAAAAGCAGGTAAGTTTTGCATGCTTTTTCAACATCAGGGAAGAAACCATTCCTTTTTGCAGGAGTGAAAGTGTCTATTTCAACATTATTGTGACACATATTATCCTACTAGTGTTTGCACAGGCCAGTATTCACACACACAGATAAACGTTAGGTTACAAAAGTATACAAAAGTGGGAGTATAAGCTAGTGGCTAGGGACAGAAGATTTTCACACTGCAGTTCAGGAAGCAGACTTGGGAGGTCAGTTTGGGTATGCTGAGTTTATATTTAATCAATACAAATAACTTTGAACCCGTGATACAGTTTTGGCTCCTGCATCCTCAAAGCGCAGCTTCCAAAACCCAGATAAGAATACGTGGATACCATTAAAAAAAGGATCTCAAACAACTGTGTACCTCCATTATTTGCAAAATGGATATGACAGGCATGGTACCACTGCTTCACCATCTTTGAGGGCTGATGTAACTAGTTTCTAACAAGCTTTGACCTCAACAAATAAGAAACCCCTCCAAACTCTACTTTTGATCAGAGTGAAGAAAAATCTGGAGTAGCTGTATGAGAAACAAAGGGCAAAACAGGCACCCTCTGCCCCCCTGCCCCTCCAAAGTACAGTAACTAACAGTTCAGTACTAGTTTCAATAGTCATGGCTCCATTTTCACACAAAACACCCAAGTAATGATAATTTGCTGGCATTCAGCAGCAAACTAATGCACCTATGCATGCACAGGTGAACCGACGGGCCTACTCCTGCTACCCAAGGGGACACCTGATGCCAACCATGCACAGCCTGCGCCCTCGATCTCTGCAGCTCTCCAGCTCTCACAGTCTGTTAAGTTATATGGACTTATTTTCAAGTACCAGTACTTTCAAAGTACATGTGATCTGAGACAAAGGTTATGCACGTAAAAACACATGCCATTTTGTATTGCCTATTTAGAAAACATGTTGATAAAACTGTAAAAGTTTCGTTGACTGGATACGTAACATAATTAACTGATTACTAATTCTGTAATAAGAACAGAAGTGGACTACATACAATACTATCTTCCATTTATACTAAGCCAGATCCAAATGTACTACAGCTTGATATGAAAGATTTTCAAATTATTAAAAAAAAGTAACTATTTTTAACCTACCATTACACAAAGTACCACATGAGCTATATAAAAAGCTGAAGAGCACAGAAAATCCAGTCCCTCAAGAAATTTCTATTATTGTGCATATGTACGTACATTACCACCCTCCTCCTCCCCCATACAGAATGTACATATAAAAATACACTCATTGCTTCGTACTGCACTGTATGACAGGGGATGTATAGCCTTAGGCTGGCAAATATAAGAAATCCCAGCTGGGTGCTGAGTAACCATGGAAAGTAGGATAAAGTATAATCAAACACTTTCATAATAAAATAAATAAGTGTAAACGTAACAGTTCAGTGTAGTGGTTTAGCACCCAGAAGTGCCGCAGCTTAGCCCTCACCTGTCAATCAAGCTTCACAATATCTGATAAATAACATTTTCATTCAAGTATAGAGAAAAGAGGATTCTACTCAAGAAACTATTAGCAGCCTTTTGTTCATTCAGTACTCTCTCTAAACAAGAAAAGAAATGTTATATAAAGCACTAAAATAAACCATCGCTTATCCTATGGAAGGTCTCTGGGTTTTTTGTTTTCTCTTTTTTTGTTTTTTGCTAGAAAGTGTATCAGTAAGCCAAGCGTTTAAATTACTGTAACAGATGCCTGTGGATCAGGTGTCCTCAGCAGCAACGATTTTCTGCTCAGGTTTTTATCAGCAAATGACAAGCACCTTCCCTTTGAGTCCCCATCACTCCCCCTCCTTCCCTTCTCCAAGTTCAGTGGAAACCAGTTCAAGCAAGCAAAGGAATCAACTAATGTAACAGCCTTTTTAAAAGGTGAAGTTTTCCATTTCAAAGGAGCCTCTAATCAATGACAGGGCGCAAAAGGGAAGGCACGCATGTTTATGCGCATAGAGCACAGACTTTAGAGAAGCTTTGGGGAACATGTTCTGCAAAATCAATATGACCTAGCTAGTTACAAATTTCATATCTGCTGCATGAAACAAATGGACTTCTTACACAAGCTGGGTCACAAGGATCAGGCATAGAATAGCAGAAGCCTCCATTTATAATAAAATGGAAAACAAAACATTTTGCATATGAATAGGGCAAAAATTACTATAACGTTCCCAAACACATTTCTTCTAAGAACAAACCCACAAGTCTCGCCGCCATATAGGAAGAATCAGGCCAAATACACCTGTAAATTTTCCTTTCCTCACTATTAGTTACTTGTTTCACTTCATGGTCACAGCAGCTGTCTTCTGTGTTTTTCTTTTGAATACTCCACTACCTCCCCCAAACAACACTGGCACTCAGTTTCCCTCTAGAGCACCAAAGAAGAGGTTCAAGCCTCACAGCTAGAGTCAGAGCACCCTAACCTATCCCGCAAAGTCTGACGAGTAGAAAAACATAGAATCACAGAATGGTTGAGACTGGAAGGGACCTCTGGAGATCATCTAGTCCAACCCCCCCCCCCGCTCAAGCAGGGTCACCTAGAACACATTACTCAGGATCATGTCCAGGTGGCTTTTGAATATCTCCAGGGAAGGAGACTCCACAGCCTCTCTGGACTCTCTCCAGTAGTGCCATGTCTCTCTTGTACTGGGGAGCCCAGAACTGGACACAGTACTCGAGGTGAGGCCTCACCAGGGCTGAGGAGAGGGGCAGGATCACCTCTCTCGACCTGCTGGCAAAGCTCTTCCTAATGCAGCTCAGGATCCCATTGGCCTTCTTGGCCACAAGGGCACATTGCTGGCTCATGGTCCAACTGCAGAAAATAGTTACGCTATAGTTAGACTGCAGAAATAGTTATTATGGGGCAGTGCCACATTTTGGGCCACGACCCAATCGTGCCAGGCAATGAGCACATCCTTGTGAGACGCTTGGGTCTCCCAAGCCTCACTCTGATCCATTCCCACTGTCTTGTGACATTCTGCTCTATAAAACATTATAAACTTGTATTAGGTATTGAGGTCATTCTTTTTCTGTCGGACATGAGCATTATTCTAAACAATTTTAAAGGGAAAATAAGTCCCTGTGCTAACAACCGTGTACAAAGAATGACCTGAAAAGGAAACACAAGAAATGAGTCATGTAGAATTCCATGTTTAATGTTCCCGTTAATCAGCATTTGAAGAAGAGGTGACATTAAACACAGAAAAAAATAGCAAAAACTAAGAATCTTTTCCCCTCTCTGTGAAGCCTCTCAGTTCGTTCTGGATGCTATCCCAGAAATTTGTCATTCTGTGAGCTCAACTTGTTTCACTGTGAGAAAACTTCGAGTATTTATGGTATCCCCATATGGTGCTACTTGAAATATTTTTGGTACTAAGACATTTTAGGAGGGGCATTTCATAAATAACTTCATGTTTATCACAGTTATCATGTGTCTGTTCTGCGAACTTGTTGCTGGCACATGTTAACCACTGTATGGACAGGATGCCTAGTTAACAGCAGTTTATCATATAGCCATGCCAAAAGGCCATGATAATTATCCTTCTTGGGCTAGGGAGGAAGGAGGAAAAAAGGAAAGGTCTTAAAGTTTATAAACAGTAACATTAAGAGAAAAAAATTATCTGTTTATTTTGGTGAGTGTTTGCTAGGAAACACAATTTTAGAACAGTGCTGTTGCCTACAAGGTTTTCCCTTGTAAAATTTCCAAATCTTTGAACCGTTTGACCTAAATAGTTGATTCGCTTTAAAGATATTTTTAGGTCAGGAACTGGCCAGGAGACTAGCTATCGTGTCCATGCAAAGACAACAGACACAAGAGAGTTTTCATAATAGTAGTAAAACTGCAGTGCTTGTACTACTTCTATAGTACTTTCTATAGATCTTGAACTCCAAGCTAGACAATGAAAAGTTGAATTCTCTAGGATGGGAATCATGAATCAAGCATTTATAGCAAACTGCTTTTACACTTTGGGTAGCCACTGTATTTTAAGAGCGCCCTTGTTTTCCAATTATATTTTGGTAAAACCTGCTATTCAATTGCTCTTTCCTCAGAAAAGGAAACCCCCAGAGCCTTTTACAATATGAACTGTCATTATTTTCCCTGGGAAAAGAAAAGAAATACCAGGAAATCTCACATTGCTAATGTGCAACTTAAAACGAAGGCTGCATTTGGCATCGACTAAAAAAGACCCAACACCTAACAAACCTCGATCCTGTGGCATTGGTGACTGGCTCAAAGCAGGGTGGGAGCTGGATTCTGACTGGCTGCCAGGAGGCTGCGGTGGCATCTGACTGCCTGTAACACACAGAGAAAAAAGGGAAAATAGACTTGCTTTTAACATTGCAACGTACAAAACCAAGCCTTGCTGCATTTTTGAACCACTCAACATCAAAGAAAGTATCAGCTGTATAAGTTAAAGACAGAGCTCAACAGGTCTAGCTTTTTTTCAGGTTCTCCTTTTCTTTTTTTCTTTTTTTGAAACCCACAGAGGAAACACGCACAAACATATTTAGCAACAGGCATGGCGAAATGTTCAATTTCGTACTGAGTGAGTTCCCAACCTCACCGACATGATCCACTTTATAGCTGCAAATCTCCTGACACATATTTCTGTTGGAGAGTTTTTCAAAATCCAAGCCTGCTGA